AAAAGATCGTAACGGATAATGTTTGAAATGGAGGAACCGAAAGATTACAACAGGCTTCCATACGTAACATGAGCTTAATATCATGCGGACTCCCACAATATTATGTACATATACATATGTGGTTTTCATAAATTCCATCGTTGCTATTATTTAATATTGAATTGTATAGATTACTGCCATATAAAAATTAAAATTTGTATAAATAAGAATAATTAAACAAACACAAATACCCACAATGAATTGTAAATAAGTATAGCGTTTATCATTTTAACTTTCACTTCCCCTTTGTCTGCAAATAGTTATTTCTGCTATGAAGAGGGTGGTACATGAAAGTCGTGTGATGTGCTTGTATGTTATTTATTACATACAAGAAATTTGGATGAAAATTCATTGACATTGAATCCAAGTGCCTACATAAAAAATAGAAACCAACAAACCGCTGCTATTTTATCAAATGAGTGCTACGGAATTTTTAAAAATAATTAGTGAGTGTTAAATAAATGAATGATTTTTTTTTTATGTTAACATATCATCTTATCGACAGTAATAAAATAAAATACGCATACTATATCAAAATTTTGTACAATAATATGGAGTGTACCAATTTATTGTCAAGTCTGATCAAATATTTTCTCTCTAAATGACTCAGATTCTGCCTTTGTTTAATAGTTGTAATATTTGTAAAATGTGGATAACTGTCGTATCTTGTTGCATCGTTAGTGTAGAAGCGAGGATGGAATTAGCATGCTAAGATACAATCTAAAACGCCTAGCTTATAACTGATAGCTATTAATCTTTGTACTCATAATTTTCTCAGGTCGGTAGATCTTATAGCGGCTTATATTGCATTATAGTAGCTTTAAGATAGCACTATTGTAAATCACTTTTGGTACTTTAGATCTAAACTCTCATTTCAACATGGCTTCGTAGGAGTGTTTGATAATTATAAATTTATTTGTTTATCATATTTTCTGTCGAAATGAACCTTAATCGAAAAATAACATATAAAAATTAAGTGTTCTCCTAGTCATAATTTAATTTAGGTCGCCTTAAAATCGATAATCTTGATGTTCGTATTTCTGAAGGATGTTTGATTCATAATAATTATGAATTTTCGTACATGGAAAAAAAAAATCATTAATAACTCAAAATCGTGAAATGGGAACCCAAAATATTAACAATAGGTACAGTGTTCCTGTACGCTGTGTCAAAAATAGTACCGATTAGGACATTACACAAGGCACATCGTAGCCAAATTTACTAGTGTCAAAAACAGCCAACTGGCCGCACAAAGCCAGAAATTTGTCTAGCTGACGTATCCATTGCCATTGACGAGATTAACTTCACTTTCCTCTTTGGTTTGGCCTACATCGGATCTGGGACAACTCCGCAAAACGTCACCTAGTTTGTGAGCTCGGATCCATTCTCGTTCATAAATAACCAGTACATGCGGCCGTTTGTCAACTTCCGAACGGGCTCATTCTCACATTTGACAAACATATCTTCCCAATATTCACATTTCTCGAACCATTATACTTTAACGTGCTCATTTCATACTAATGAACTTACGATAGGAAGTCCGTTCAGTTGGTGCTTGTGTAGAAACGTCACGATCATATTATATATCATCAATATTTTTTTTATGCAATATTCTTCATATTAATTATCTTTATATTATTTTACTATTTATATTTAGTATCTTTTGCGCTTAATTTTTTTATGAATAAATACTTGTAGCCATAATACTTATTGACCTTTAATGTGGCAGATTGGTATTAAAAATTATATTTTTTTTCTGGTATCGAAACTGACAACAGGAGTTGTGAGTCTTTGTTTTTTATTTACATGGCATAGTTTCGGCTAGTAATCTAAAAAGACTTAATGAAAATTATCATTATACATATTTGTATATCAGTAAACAATGATGCTAGTCCAGTGATTGACGGAAAGGTTATTTGACAATTGACATTTTTTCATCGTTCATTTTCCACCTCTTCCTTGTCTTTTAGTCTACGCGGGTTTTTACCCGGGCCGGGGGAGGCAGAGGATTAATGCCAGAGCTAAAAGCCCCTCTGGTATCGAGACGCGGACTCGTAATTATTACATCTTGTAAACTTCGGTTTATCACGTTGCCAAAAAATCAACAAAAATCAAAGGACGTTTTTAGTTAAGTGATACAAGTACATCTTTGTTATAAAAACGGAAGTTAAACGCGTTTTCAGTGTTATTTTAAGCTCTTTAATATGGATTTTTATTGAAATAAAATTATACAAACTTTATAGTACTTGATTTTCTTTCCAGTCGTCAACTAAAGCAGTCATAACTCGATATTATTTTTACCGAATTCAACATTAATGCGACCTTTGAAAGCTAAATTACTGCTCTTCATACCCATCTAAAATTTTATTTATAATATAAAATATAAATTTCGTTTATGAAAAACTTCACAGAATTATTTTTATATGGTTCAAATTTGTTCACGGATTTAGGGTTTATCTCCTTTCGTTTAGTTCATGCTTTCTTTCGTATGGATCAGTGAAGTCCTAGGCAAAAATTTTGTGCAAACAAATTATATCGCTCAGTTATAGCAATTAGAATTTAAGTGTTATTTGAGGTATAGAATACTAACATGAACTTACTTTCTCCACGAAAAAATATCTATTCTCACATTAGTATAGCTTCCAGTCAAAATAAATGTTGTATATCGAAGAAGTTTCCAACAAAATGAATAAAAAGAAGAAATTAATTTTAAGTAAGTTTATATGAAAAGATTTTTGTTTAATTGTATTTATAGAGTGCAAAATTAGTTATATCAAAGAAAATTATGTCAAAGAAAACGTCAAATTTTTCTCTGTTAATAGACGTTTTGTTTTTATCAAAAATAATACCAATCACTTCATTTCTGTTAATTTTTATTTTTCCATCCGCCATTTAAGGCACCCTGGGTTTCATTTCTGTTACCATTCATTCAAGCTTATCTTCATATCGAATTAATATTCTCATTTCAACATGCATTGAAATTAGATATAATATAGATGTTAACTTACCCAACACATCAAGCTTTGACGTCGAAAGCAATTTCGTAAAATAATTCAATTGGGGAGGAATTAAGCTGGTTTAAAGTTCCCCTACGTAGCAATGTCGCCTCCCACAACTTTACCAACTCTACCCCTACAGAATAATAAATCTGTCGTTACAGATTTTCGGCGTCCTAATGAAGATTTATAAAATCGCCAGAGAATTTTCACTCATGGATAAGTAGATGAAGGTAATTTTTACGCTTAAATTAAATTGAAACACACATTCAGCAAAACTGTCAGTTTTTTTTTTTACAATAACAATATACAAAGTTAATAATCCATTATTAAGAATAATAATAATTAATAATAGATTGTTACTGGAATATACCATATCAAAATCTTCCACCTATCAAATTTCTGTAAATAAAATCCATTGAAGTTCATCCACTTGGCCTGAGAAAAAGTCTTACTAAATGGAAATAGAGATACTTAGAATCAGATAGATAACACTAAGTGCGGATTACAATATTTCTTAATGTGGTGTTTTGGGACAGTTTTCCATTATAAAATATTTTATCAGTGTTTCAACTGCCTCCCGCAGTGCTACATCCTACGCCCTGAAGACGACCTGCAAAGTGGGTCGAAACGTCGGCAAAAATTAAAATAATTAATATATTTTTAATTTAGTATTTATTTGACCGCACACCCCGACTAACTCCTTTCATATAAAATATTTTATATTTGTATTAATGTGCTATCACTATATCATACAAATCTTTTTTTTTTTATCTTATCCCTCACCATTTATGAAACACAGTGGAGGGGGGAGGTGGTTGTACTAGTTGTTCTTACACAATCAAAGCTATTCTAACCACCGCGGGAAGGAGATACATTCCTCAGGTCCTCCACGAAATAAATTTCAACTCGCCCAGGGTGGATTCGAAGCGGACTGTGGTCTACGCCTCAACACGGTCGGTCATAACTACCTCACCACTAGTCTTTTATTATCTGATTAAACTATACACTTTATCAATCATTTTACTCTTTTTTTTTAAATTTATAAATCATTTTGATGAGGGTACTTTACTTTCTTATTAAATTCTATAGCTTAAAATTAATTAAATATAGCAATGATTTTTTAGGAAATTCCATAAACTTTTAAAAAACCATACAAAACGTGTTGAGTTATTCGGAATTTAATTTTACCATCCCTCGTAACTTTTTATCCAGCTTCTTTTCGTTGAAGTATTTTATATAGATAAATTTAAAGGGTGTCGAGAAAATGACTTTAGCGAAGTTTCGTTGAAATCGATACATTCGTTTAAGCGCTACAGTCTATTGCAACGCAGGTTTTTATGCATTTTTATTTTTTTTCTCCTTTATTAACTTATCGAATTCTTTCAAAAGTTATATGTAGCATTTTTTTCATAACTCTGAATAATGAGAAATGATTACATTTTTAAAATAAACCATATTAAAGGTACTTTAGAGGAAGATATATATGAACATTGGGCATTTAAGCCCTGTAAAGTGACATCAACGGGGATAAGACTTAAATGATATTAAAGATCACTTAATTATACAATGATACACAGAGCTTAATCAAAATCGTTAATCAAGACCATTTGGCAACACTTGGTTATTTGGACTCAGGGGACCTCAAAACATGTATTTCCGTTGAAAACTGAGGTTCAAAAATTTTCACGATCGCAATACTTACCCTAACTATATATTACATATATACGTAAGTGAAAGTAATACTATATATTACATATATATGTAAGTGAAAGTAAAAAAAGTTACTAAATAAGTGAAGGAAAATTAGCAGTCAAGGAAATACTTTTGACCCTTCTATAACATATTACGATTTATTCTATTACCTGGCCACCGGATATCCGTAAGTAAAACGGTCTGGTTTACGTGCTGAGAAAATTGAATAAAAGAAAAAAAAAGAATATGAACACGATTTCTAAGAATGACATGGAAAAGGTCAGTAAGTTTATTTATGTAAAAAATAAGAGAAAAAAATATCAGATTTTGACATAAGTTTTTAATAAAGAAATTTTATTTACAAAATTATAAACAGAATTATGCACATAAATAAAATTTTATAAAAGAAAAAATTAATCCAAAACGACTTCAAAGTATTTGAAGCTATTTTATGTCAAAGGATTAATTAAGTAGAACCTGTCAATGAGTAACAAATATAACTTTAGTTGCATCCATTAAAAAGACTAACATGGAACCCACATACCAGACTTAAATGACGAACTATTAATTAAACTGTTGAGAACATAATATTAATCTACAATACAATCCTGAAACCTTTCTGGACGAATGGACTCGAACTGTGGGGGACAGCAAAACTTTCCAACATCAAACGCATTCAATCCTTCAGTCTAAAGTTCTTCGAACAATAGTCGATGCTCCCTTTTATGTAACCAATAAAACCCTCCATAATGACCTTAATCCCAGAAAATTTCCCAAATTTCACCAGAACCTCACTCATCATCCTAATCCTGTAGCACAATCTTATCTAGCTCCAGTCATTCCTAAAATCCTTCTCGGAGGTTAAAACGGCAGTGGCCTCGCGACCTTTTGTAAATATGTATATTGGAGTACTGGAACTGGTCAGATTCTTCTCTCAAGCCCTGAGCGTTTGTTGCTCTTGTGCCCTCCACCAGACTCCACTGGCTTCCAATACCAGTGACGCGGCTGGGAGAGAAGTACTGGGATCTCCTGGAGTCCTGCTTTGGCTTCCACAGTTGGGGGACAAAGCTTGATTCAGAGTCCCCTGGGCCAATGTAAATATTTTACATAGTTGTGAATCGTTTTTATTTATTGTATTACCATTCGGATTTAATGTTATTAGGACGTGGAGGAAAGCATGGCAGCCAGAAGGCTTCGTGAAGGAGATTGGATGGACAGGGAGCAGTGGCTTTTGGGTTTGGGGATATGATTCATTAAGTTGTATAAAACCCAAATAAATAAAAAAATTAATGTTATTTTATTTATCTAGTATATAAATTTATCTTTTTTTTCTACTTTGGTTTTTTATATTTATTTTCCTTTCTTATGTACATATTCTGTGAATGAATACTACAGCTCTAGTAGAAATGCCCTTCAGTGTGGCAGACTGTATTAACTCAATAAAATCATAAAATAAAATAAAAAAATTGCATCCAAATCGGGCAAAAATAACTACAAACAGGGGTACCCACAAAGAGGTTTCATCACAAATTTTGAGGAGGGCACATTTTGAAGCGATTTTGAAATTTTGAGAGGGGCAAATTTCGACGAAGTTTTGACTTTTCAGACTGAATAGTTTCAAACGAAGAGACAAAGAGAACACGTGGAACAACCCTCAACAAGTGTAATTGTATATAATATACGGTACTGTTATTTCTAATGTTTTTATGAAGAGGATAGCAATAAAATATTTTGATGAGTGGAGGGGGGAGATTCATACACCATCGAACTTCGGGGGGAGGAGGGTGGGGTGGACCCCCCTGTGTACAAATAAATATAATACAGACTTTAGAGAAATATAAACTAGATAGATAAGAACAGACACAACCTATAAACCAAAATTATATTGTAATTTACAAACTTTTCTTTTCTTTCATTTTTACAATTTATTATAATTTTGTTAAACAAGATGTGGAGAAGTATATGCTGCTAGCTTGACAAACGGTTAGTCGTAACTTAATGAGTGGTTATTATATAAATTTAGACCAGATAACACATTGAAATAACTGAATATTACCAAACCCTACTTCATTTGAAATTAATTTCCACTTAAAGCAGGATGGTAAGTGAAAGAAGTGTGATGCGTGCTCCTGAATCAGATTTTTTTTTTATTATTCCGTGGCGCAACTAGATTAATATTATTGGCAATGAAAGAGTTATTCAGATTCTTGGAATTAGGAGCTTAAAAATAAATAAAACAAAACTTTATTTTATTTTCAATATAAATGGAGGGAGTCATATTCATGGCATATTAAATCGATAGTAAAATACATGAAAGGTTAATTTTTTATTATATATTTTTTTTCAAATGAAAATATCAATGAATAAAATCACAATTTAATAATAAGTAAATTAATAATCAGTAATTAGAGCCTAAATTTAATTTTGCATTATCATTGGGAAAATCTTAATGTAAATATTCATTTCGACTTTGATTATGTCAGATATTTTTTATTTTATTTATTTATGATATTTACAAATGTATTAAAAAAAAATACATTCAGTTAATGTGATAACAGAAAATAATAACATGAAAATACTTGTTGAGAAACTACCCACTGGTATTTCTCTAAAAAAAAAGATATTTACAAAAGAAGATCTCGAGACCATCTTCTTTTCAGACGCCTCGGAGGGTTATCATTGATCGAATAGGAAACAAGGTTAGAAACGAGAGGATTTGGGTGGTTCTGAAGTTTATTATGGATGAATAGGTATCTGGATTGGACCAATTCGGAAATATAAGGAATATTAAGGTCTTTATGGATGATTTTATTAGTAACAAAGTAAGAAGCATTGAGGATTTTTCGAAGGATTTTGGATTGTAAGGATTGGATACTTGAAGAATTCGATGGCTTTGTGGAGCCCCAGATCTCAACTCCGTAAGTCCAAGTAGGTTTAATTGTAGTCATGTATATGAGTCTTTGGTAATTAACTGAAAGCTTATAGCGTTTGCCTAGTAAATGCTGGAGCAGCCGGATACGTTGATCCGTTTCTTGTCGTTTTAGTCTGACTAACTTTTAAAAGCCTAAAATTCGGAGTATTTTATTGCCAGCCCAAGAACACAATATGTTTCTTCATAACGTCGTACTATTATCTTAAAATACAATTGTTTAAAACTTGAGGTGCGATATATTTTGTTTTTTTATTCGGACTCTAAACTATTATGTACTATGTCAGAACAGATAAAAAATTAAAACTGTATAAAATATCCCATAATAATAATAGAATAATGCAGTAAGTAGATAGATTTATGTCGTCAACTAAACGTCTTCTTTTTTTTCAGGTAAAGGCAATCGTTATTATCCATCTTATGGAGTGAGCTCTGATTGCGAAGAAGAAGTCAACGCTCAGGTCTACCAACATACTTACCAGCAGCCGGGAGTTTTCTCTGGTACTCCAACGTCTGACGCCAGTGACGCAACTCTGACAGATTCCGAACTTGCCCTTGCTAGAGATTCTACCCTGCTTGTACACAACGGTTAGTGATCATCAATTTATGTTAATATTTGATAAATATGTCGAAGCAATTACCATTATAAAAATTGTAAACCTTTTTTATTCGAAAAGAGAAACTTTGTCCTATTTCAGCAAGCCTAGTTGAAGTACCTCAAATTCACCATTATCTTTTAAATAATTATTGATTTGAAAGAGCTAACTTTTGTCCCAAATAAGTGACGATAGGGTTATGGGATAGATTCTCGAGATAAATAAACACTTATTTGGTCCGATCTTGATAGCCAAATATACAGCTTTTTTTTTTTCATCTTAGTAAAAAATTTAGTTGAGAAAACAAATAAATGTACGAGGTGTGGCTATTAAATAACGAATCTGATGCTCTAAAATATTTCATTTTGATTTCATACGTATTTACTTATTATCAGTTTAAATATATATATTCTTCATAAATCACTGCAACGCTGCATGTGAATCATCCATTGTCTGAAACAGTGCAGAAAGTCATCTTCTGTCAGCTCCTTGAGGATGCTTGCCACTTTTTCTTTCACAGCTTCCACGCACTAAAATCTGTTTTTCATCATGCAGATTGACGAATCTTTGCTTTTTATTTAAGGTCCTGAATCCAAGGGATCTTTATTGAGACCTTCGATGAGACCCAAAAAGGCTCGAATGAACAAATCGAAATTAAAAGAAATGATGAATCTTTTTTCGATATTCACTTATCAATATACCACAATCCCATTGTATACCTTAACTGGGTTCCTGAAGATCAAACTATATATCAACATTACTACATCCACGTTCTTGCTGCAAGCGAAAGCGGTGCGTATCCTGAAGGATCTGGCCGTAGAAGAGGTCCTGAACTGTTGAGGTCTGAGACAATAGAAGATTCGCATGAAGACTTGTAGGCGCTTATAAGGGATATATATATATATATATATATATATATATATATATATATATATATATATATATATAAGATAAAGACCGGAGACCGGCGATATCAGCCTTAATGCCGTCCTGAATGTAAATAAACATATGAAATGTATATAAGGAGGATTACTAAAGGAATAAAAGTCTATTCTGAAACCGTGAGTGTTGCATTTCAACCCTTTCCTTTCTTTTTTTTTATTGTTAGAGTCCGCCGACGCTTAACTGGTGCCGAAACCCGGGACTACGACAGGAGAACAGAGAAGTAATTTTTTTTTAAAGTCATTTTTTTTCTCTTGTTTTTTTTCTTCTCCTAGTCATAAGGAAAGAGTGAATGCCAACAGAGGGCTTAATCAGGCCGGGAGTGTTGAGCGCCCCGGAAATCCCTCAACCTCAAGAAATTCCGCAGATACCTCAGATCGCGCAGGCCCCTCAGGTTCCTCAGATACCTCAAATACCTCAGGTACCGCAGATTCCGCAGATCCAGGAGATCCCTCCCTTACCGAGGGACACATTGGCAGAAGCGCACGCTAACGCGCTGGAATGGATGAAAATAAGAGCGGCGACCACGCAGGACCTTCGAAGAGCCATTGCGGACCTGGAACGCTTCGGTGGCGAGGTAGGTGAGCTTAACCATTTCCTGAAAGGCGGAGACCGCCTCATGTCTAGAATAGAGGTAAAGGTGGCGGAGGACCTGGTAAACCTAGGGGACGCGGAAGCGTTGAAAGCGGCTCTGGTGTGCCGAGTAAGGAGGAGCATCCTGAACCAAATTCAGGCGGACGAGGAGACACCATGGCCGGTGATTAAGGAGCGACTGAAGAAGGCCTTCGGAGGAGGCAGATGGACGCCGGAGGAAGACATCTTCCAAATGTTTAGGGAGCGCCGGTCCCAACGTCAGACGAGGGGCCAGTATGGGGGGTACTAGTGGCAAAGTACAACCGCATAACGGAGAAAATGCGCGAAACAATGAGTGTGGGAGAGGTGGAAGCCAGGATGGAGTTCCTCTCGACGATACTCAAGGTCCAGTTGGCGAAGGAAACGGGAAGGAGAGACGGATTGCCCAGGGAGAGATCATTCCTCGAGTGTGCCCAGGAAATGATCGACCTAAGCGCAAGGGAAGAAGAGACTCGGATGGACGTGGAAGAACCAGGGTGGATCCGGGTGAATGACAGACGACCCCGGACAGCCCCGATGGGTTGGAAGAGGAGAGAAACGGTACAGCCGAGCGGAGAAAAGGTCAGGATGGGTGAAAAAAGATCCGGACAAGTGAGGCCGAGGAATGGACCCCGCAGGGAAGACAGGAAATGTCATGGGTGCGGAAAGCCAGGACATTTAGTTGCACAATGTCCGCGCACTAGATGTTTCGAGTGCGGTACCGAAGGGCATATTGCTAGGCAGTGCCCGTACATATTCCGGAGGAGAGAAAGAACTCAAGACGAGCCCATGGAAGTAAACACGCAGAAGCTGACAAGACGGGCTAGGATGCAGCGGAAGGACGGATCTTCGGAGAGGCAACCGAGGAGTCGGGAACTTCGGGGACAGAGACGGACGAACCAGGTAGCAGTGGAGGCGAAGGAGGCAGGAGCAGCCAACGGACCGAGCAGCGACGAACGGCGGCGGAGGAGGAAGCTGGGCGGCATCTGAGGAGTGTGGCAGCAGAGAGGCGACCGCACAGCAACATGCAACAACATCCGAGGTAAGCCATGCTGGTTGCCAATTATCGAGGTAGACGGGGGAGTAAAGTGCCTCGTGGATACCGGGAGCTCGAGCACTATTATGACCAGAGGGGCGTTAGGGAAAGTGTGCGGGAGTGAGAGGGCACTCCGGATCCAAAAATGCGATTGCCACAACTAATCACTCTGGGTGGCCCCTGTAGCGTAGAGGGAGAAGCGACAATAAGACTTGATCGGTGGGCAGGAAAAGAGGGCGAACTGAAGGTACACGTAGTAAAAAACATGACTCGGGAATACCAGGTCATAGTGGGGTGCGATTTGTTGGGGCAGGTAGGGGCGAGCATTAGGAATCGTAGAGGAGCCTGGAGTGTTAGGTTGGGAAAGAGGAAGTTCGGATGTATAGGGGTCGCGAGAGAAAGAAGGGTGCGGATAGGGGCGGTGAACAGAGTGGAGGACTGGAGGAAGTTGCTACAGGAGGAGTTTAGGGACATTTTCTTCAGGGAAGGTGAGGTATTAGGGGTAACAGGGAGGACGGTGCATGAAATCCCACTGAAGCAGGATAGGGTAACTTACGTGAAAGAGAGAAGATACCCGCAGGCGTTGAGGCAGCATATTCGAGAGGAGCTAGATAGTCTAAAAGAACAAGGGATCATAGTTGATAGCACCTCACCATTCAATAGTCCCCTGTGGGCGGTGAAGAAGAAGGCAGCACCGGGGGATAATAAGGAAAAATACAGGGTGGTAGTAGACTATCGTAAATTGAACGATAACACGGTAGACGAGAAGTACCCGATCCCAGATTCGAAGATATACTGGATAGGTTGAGTGGAGCCGTGGTCTTTAGCACGTTGGACCTTAAGGCGGGATATCACCAAATACGGATGCACCCGGAAGACCAACACAAAACAGCGTTCACATTCGAAAGGGGGCATTATGAATTCACAGAATGCCGTTTGGTCTGAAGAATGCGCCCATAACATTTCAGCGTCTGATGGACGAATTTTTGAGGGGTATCGATGACTCGGTATGTCAGGTATATATGGATGACCTGCTGATTTTTAGCAGAACGGAAACCGAACACGTGGGACATCTGAGGTCAGTATTCGAGAGGCTCCGGAAATTCGGGCTGAAATTGTCAAGCGAGAAGTCTCTGCTGGGACAAACGCGGATTAATTTTTTAGGCCACACTATCTCTAGCGAGGGGGTCAGACCGGATGCGGCAAAGGTGGAGGCGATCACAAGGATGGCGGTACCACGGGACGTGAAGGGGATCCGTAGGCTTCTTGGGACGCTGAACTACTACCGGAGATTCGTACCTGAGATGGCAGAGTATTTGGTACCCATTAACAATTTGCTGAAGAAAGGCGCGAAGATTGTGGTGACACCAGAGATGGAGAATAATATCCGAAAATGTATGAATAGGTTGCTGACAGAGCCGGTGTTAGCGTTCCCGGATTTTGAGAAGCTCTTTAATATAACCACCGATGCGAGCGAATACGCGTTAGGGGCCGTTTTGTCCCAGGGGGGGAGTGAGGGTGAACGACCGATAGCATACGCGAGCCGTCGGCTTACGGGTGCGGAATCGCGATACAGCGCTTTGGAGAGGGAGCTACTCGCGATAGTGTGGGCTATCGACCATTTCAGGCCATACGTATTTGGGAGGAAGTTTCGAGTCCACACCGACCACAAACCCCTGCAGTGGGTAGGGAAACTTAAAGAAACCTCAGCTAGGGTCACGCGATGGAAGGAAGTCCTTAGTCAATACAATATAGAGGTGGTGTATAAGCCGGGAAAGGAGAACGTGGTGGCGGACTGGCTCTCGAGGGCCATCATGATCAACGCGGTAGAAGAGGACGGGGGAGGACCATCGCGAGACGTGCGCCAATTCTTGAGTGAATGGACTCCCGACGGCGAAGGAGCGGAGGATATCGTCGGTATAGATGACAGGGGAGAGTCCCCGGAAGAGGAGAGCTCAGCGGAGGAAAGAGCAGTGGAAATGGAGGAGATAGACGACATCATCAATGACAAGCATCGTCAGGTAATCTGGAAAACGAGAGTAGCAGGGATGATGAAAATAGATTATCGAAGATATGGGAAAAGCAAGATTCGCGTCATCTGGTCGCAACCCGGGGTGAGTGAAGAGCAAATTTGTACGGCACTGAAGGACGCCACGGAACCTGGAAAGACGCACCATCTTTATGTGGGGAATAACACGGTATGGGATAAAATAAAGCGGATGTGGAGATCCGAGCGAATTGGTGTGGACAGAACACTCATCCGTTGTAAGTACGCAGTGGAAACTATACAGGATGAGGAACAGCAACAGGCAGTCACATTAGCTTATCACCAGGGGAAAACCAACCACCGAGGCGTGAACGAGACTGCAGGCATTACGTCGAAAGTATTTCTGGTGGGGCATGAAAAAATCCATCCAAGAGGTCATAGGGAAATGCGAGGTGTGTATGCGCACGAAATATGATCGACACCCCCCCAGAGGGATTCAGGAAGAGACACCGACGGGGAATATGCCACTACAGGACCTCCAGATTGATACATTTACCTGGAGAGGGTTCAAGTGGGTCACGGTCATCGACGTCTTTAGCAAGGTAGCTATGGCACACCAGGTCATGGACAAGTCTGCCAACGCAGTTGCGGAAGCCCTACAAACCTGGGTGCAGTTCTACGGGGTCCCCGAGAGGATCACATCGGACGGTGGTAGGGAGTTTGACAATGCCGCGATTAGGGAGGAGGTGAAACGACTAGGGATTCGTTGGCATTATAACACCCCGGGACATCCTAAGGGTAGAGGCGGCATTGAGCGGTTGCACAGCACGCTGAGTGATCACATCCGGGTGTATCAGGGGGAAAAAGGGTTGGAGCCGGATGTTGCAATGAAGAAAGCGGTAACAGCCTACAACCACTCGATTCACTCCGTCACGGGATTTTCGCCCGTGGAAGTACTATTCGGGATGCGCAGGCCAAGGCGAGATTGCGGGGAAACAACGGTTAATGAACCATTAGTCGAGCAAATCCAGAGCAATAGGGTGGAGATGGAAAAGACGTGGGGAAGAGTAACGGCGAAAATTAAGCGGGAAAAGGAGAAGCGGGTAGAGAGGCAGAATGTTCGCGTACGTGACCAAATGGGTGATCTAAAGATCGGGACAATAGTGTACCGTAGAGTAGGGACCAACAGAGGGAAACAATTGTTACGATACGAGGGTCCATTCAGAGTGATTGCTATTAGGGAGCATAATCTACTAACGATCGAAAGCGTTAATGAACCTAGAAAGAGGAGAACGGTTCAC